AGTGGATTGTCAAAGGGGGAGCCTCGTTGCGGGGAAATTATACAGATGGCTACTCCGCCCCTGAAAATGTCTATGCATTTTTTTTTTTTTTCATTTTTATTTTGTAATCATCTCGCGACCCCCACTTTGGGAACCCCTGGTCTAGAAGAGTCAATAGCAGCATATAATTAGAAATAACAGGATGTGCAAGGCCAACTGCCAAGAGTCAAACATTCTCACGTGCAGCCTTGCCCTACAGTAAACACACAACTGACTGACAGTGACTATTTCTTAAAGTAACACTGAATTCCACCTGGTCGCAGGTGTGCAGAGCAGCCAACAGCATCACAGCACCCGTTGACGGACGGTAAATGTTCCTAAATTTGGTTTGCATGGTATGAGATCGAAGGAACCTGAAACAAAGACAACAAGAAAAAAATGTAAAAGAAAAAGAGGAAGGTCAATTTATTAGTGAGCACTTCCTCTTTTTCCCCTCTGATATTGTGTGGGACATTTTGTCAGAGGCTCAATCTGGTTTCACCCCCCCCCCCCGCCCACCTAATTTAATCTAATTTCCTACTATTTGAAATGTGAGCCCTGCTTTCCTTCTGCTCACCTATTCCGTGAATAATTCGCTCACCTGTTTCTGAGGTAACGGATGAAATCAGGATGGTATATCTTCAGCTTTTTTGCTGACACATCCGCTCCAAAGTAGTCGGATGGACTGTGGAATTAAATGTGAAATTAATAGGAAAAAAAGCTGAATCATAAAAACGGTCACTAGTTAAAAAGAGTAAACGTTCATAAGAAGATAAAATAAATCTTTACCATGTGCAGACCAATTATAAATCGAATCTGAATGTGGTGTTTACTGCACATGCTAGGGTTAGCATGATTAGCATGAGCTTTCTCTAGCTAGCCACAAGGGCTGTGACACTTGATAGGGTGTGAATATGTAAACTGTAGAGATTAGGGCGTAGCACAGTGAGGTTTAAAATCTTATGTGGGTAAACAAACTGCACGAACCACCAGCTTATTGTCTAACACAGGGAGGCTGCTCTTTATAAAACAAGCGGCACACTCAGAAACTGAACAGGGACGTTCTAACTTGCATTCTCTCAGTATACAGCAGGGCGTCCAGTTTTAGAGGAGTCTATGAGAAAATTACCCTACTTCTCATTTGTTTTATAACCTCAATTTTGTAAATAATGGTTCCATTTTAAGCAAAATAGACAAAGCAGCATATGATTTAGGGTGTGTGCACATTTTCATTGAGAACACACGGCTCAATGCGTTATCCGGTTTGAGTTAAAGGACAGTTAAAGGAATAAAAACCAGTGACATACAAAGGACATTATTGTGAGTCAAACTGCATCCTCATTATGAGAGCAGAGTGTTGCTTACTTTTTGTTCCGCTCAGGTCCTGTCTCTACTTTTGTGTGTGTTGCCGCAGCCTTCATCAGCAGGTAATCACGGCCGTGGTCCGGCAGAAAAACGTATCGGGTTTCCTGTTGGAGAAGAACAGAGTGTGAGGTGACTCAAGCCTGAATGTGGTATGTCGACATTTTTGCACTTTATGGAGGATTTCTTCTCACACTAGACTTAGGGGGGCCTCTAAACCCAGCACCGGAGTAGGCCCTCATGGAGTTCCTCATTGTGTTGGTGGAGAACGTGTAGTGGGTGGTCCGAGAGCCCACGTCCTGCTCAAAGCCCTTAGTGATGGCCCCATTGGTCCTGAAGAACACAAGCGTCCACAAATTCAATAAATAAAAATGTATTTGTTACAGGGGGCCCATCTGCATAGGCAGTCGAGTAACACAATATGTAAATGATCAAAGTAAAGGTATGGTATATATACATTTTAAATCAATAATAACAATAATTATTATTATTATTATTATTATTATTATTATAGCTGACGCTCCTGGAAGACAATATTCAACAAGCTTGGCTAATGCCACAATTACATAATAAAATGCAGGTTACTAATTGTTTAGCATTGAAGCCTACAACGAAAATGCAATTTAAATGCATTTATTACAAAAAGCGCAAACAAACAACCACGATCTAAATCAGGGATGGGCAACTTTGATGGTGGTGGGGGCCACATCATTGATGTACTGGCCACCAGGGGGCCGCAGATTCACTTGGAACCCACACACACAAAAATTCCATGTGTTGTATGTAATTATTAACAAATATACTAAGTCTGACATCTTCATTGACATTTTACAATCAAAGGGAACATCCCCCAAAAATGGGAACATCCTCTAATAAGCTCACTAAACAAATATCAGTTCACAGAAATGTTATTTCATTTTTACAAGTGGCATGTTTGTATTGAACAGGTTATTAAACAGTGGAATAAAACTATTTTAAACTATTGGAAAGCACGGAAAATGTGTGTGTATTGAGATTAACCATTAAGATGACATACACATGAAGTCATAAACACTAACCCAGACATTAGTTGTCTAACTTGAACCTAAAACACTTGTAGCCAGTCTCTGCATTCCCCTTATTCCACAATAAGGGGAATGTCAACACAGACACCTGTCAGCCCGCACTCTGCTGTTCCTCAGCACCACTCCCCCTCCCTCCCGCTGAAATTATGAATGAAAAGCGTAGTAATCATAGATAACACGGCAGGGTCCGTGACAGTTTGTTTTCATCTGATTTCAAATAAACAAAGTCTTGGTTTTAAGAATATTAAACTTGTTTCGCCAAATTCAGATGATAAAAACAACTTTTAAGCTTGTAAAGGCATAATTACAAGAGGCAACTTAACGTCACAGCAGGCATAACAACAGCCGGTGTTTCTTGTGAGGGTTTCCCCGGGAAACAAACACAATACACACAAATGCGTCACAGATTATTTCGCGGTATTTTAAATCATGTACGCAGCTCGCGACGTAACTAGGAGTCTAGTGGACGGTATCAGTACTACAAGTAAAACAATTTTAATTAATTACGTTGTTTATAAATTAATCTGAGGGCCACAAAAAGAGGAGGTGGGGGCCGCATGCGGCCCGCGGGCCGCCATTTGCCCATCCCTGGTCTAAT